GTGGTCGGCTTGGGTTGATTAGACCAGGCATGTTAACAGCGTTTCGCGTACTCGCAAGGGATAAGGATCGCCCTAGGCGACTAGACAGAGAGGCTGTTGTACACAATACGAGAACTGGTTACATGGTCCATCTCGGCTGGGCCAGAAATGTGCTGAAATTGTCACAGAGGGACAAGTTGACTAGGAAAACGGCCAGGACCTTCTGTACTAGTGAGAACATTTCATTATAGCCATGTTTTGAACAAGAAGCTTCCCATATGAGCAACTGTGAGACATTGTACAGTTCTGGTTCCCTCACCTTCTTTAAATTCTAATTGTAGGAGCAAACCCTTCAATTTCAGGTTTGAAACGCAGGAGAATCTGCTCTCTTTTTGGTACACATGCTCCTTTCTCTCTTAAACCACCATGTTTGCAATATAACCAGCATATTGTGTCTTACCAACGGGGGTGTGTGTGTGGCTGTCCTAGTGAGTCACAGCAAACCATGGTTTGTTTTACTTGGGCCATGAGTTGACCAAACAAGCTGTGGTTTGTGTTCCAGAAAAGAAAACTATATCAGTATTTATGAAGGTTGTTTCTGAGCTTGGACTTCATGACTGCGGAAGGGTATAAGTCATCATAAAACAGGCGATATCCTATTTTGTACCCATGCCAGAATCTTGGTATGAAAAGCTAGATGCTTCCACAGATGTAGAAGACTTTAGCTGCAGGCTGACAGCAAAGCTTGTAATGTCTCAGCCTGTAATATGGAATATTAAAGATAACACACCCTGTCTGTTCCCTGATTTACTAGTGATAGCCATAGACGAATGGATTAATGGACGAATGGATTCTGCTGAAATAGGAGAAATCTTGGCTTTTTATGATTGTGTTCTTGGCCTTTTGATGTGGCTTTTCTGCTTAAAGGCCATCAAAACACTGGGGGGAAAATGTTCAAAAATAAACGTAACATCAGGGAAAGAATCAAATAAGAGGCAGCCAGCCAAACAAACACCCAGCATTCACATTTTTTTTAAACAATGCCAATTTCAAACATTTCAAATGGTCAGTACCATACAGATGGTTTTCAGCCAAGGTAGAATGAAGGATAAACAGAGAAAACTTACAAAAAAATGTGTTTTCCCCCCCAAAGGCAACAAATAAAACAATTAAAATTTGGATACAGATTTAATTGCAGGATAATATTTGTATTTTGCAAACTTGTTTTGCATCTTGTTCTTCTTATTTTAGGGAATAAGCTTTCACCATTTGAGATGTTCAGGATAGGTACAACGGTGCTCTTTCTAAAAAGATATTTAACCTCACACTCCTGTGGAATAGTTACGGCTGAGGGTCAGTGATGACGACAACGACATTAATACAACAATATTAATAATCATGTGCTCTAAAGTCAATTCTGAGTTATGGTGACTCTTTACAGGAGTTTCCAGGTAGAGGATCTTCAGAAGTGCTTTACCCTTCCATTCCTCTAGGGGGAGCCCTGGGACTCTATGCAGCTTGCCCAAGGCTACCCAGGCTGGCTCTTCTCCCTGAAGGCTCAGTGGGGGAATCAAACTCCCAACCTCTGGCTCCACAGGCAGATACCTAAACCACTGAGCTATCCAGTCAGGCATTCGGTGACTTTTGAGATTTGTATTTATGAGTTATGCCTGTGCGCGTGCACATCTGTACATCCACACCCACGTACAAGACAGGAAGTTTTGAGATAGCGTTGCCAATTCTACGTTTCCTGTCCCCCCCTTTTTTTCATAAGTTTGCTGGTTGATTTTCTCTCTCCCCTTCCCTTCCCATCCTTCGCTCCCCTGTCGTCTGTTTATCTCCCCAACGTAGATTGTACTTTTACTGGACCTGTTGTTACGAAACTTCAGAGGTTTGCATGAATCTGGAAATAGTGACTAAACCCGTTTAATCCTATGCCCTGGGTTTGCGGCTGAAATCCTGTCGCTTAGCATAGTCAGTTGCAACTAGAGTAAAACCGTTGATTCAGTGGGACTTAGAGAGAAGTTGGCTCTCCAGATCCTCCCCCTAATTCAATGGGCCTACTCTAGTTGCAGCTTCTTGTAAAAACGGACAGGATTCCAGCTAATATTTTTCTTGCGTATGAGTGGAAACACACTGAGGTTTGATGGACCGCAGAGATTTGGCATTCAGCGTTAAATCGCCTTGAGTCTTTTGCTTCCCGGCATTGTGTTCTTGTCTTAAACTCTTAACCAGTTAATCCCCCCCTTCCCCCCAGTAATCCCTGTGGGGAAAAATGTTCGTTCTTTCATCTCTAGAAAGTAAGATGATGGGGTGTAGCTAGGGAGCGGAGAATGGGGCTCGAAAGACAACATCTATAATTATTGACGCACCTCTTTGCTTTGAATGATTTGATCGTTTTTGTGTATTTCTCGCAACTGCTTGGATTCAGAACATCTCTGACAAAAGAAATTCACTTTCTTTTTCTTTCTCTTTCAGGAACTAGCCAACTCTGTCTACTTGGTGATGGAGGTGAGCAGCCCTACAATCTCAAATGTATATTTGTGGGACCTTAGAGGTCTTCTTAATCACACTTCAGGTTCCGTACTTTCGTTCACCTGCTCGTACAGTGTTCGCTGCTGTCGCTTGAGCTTCACAACATCCCCTGTGAGGAAGGCTAGGTGGCAAAACAGCCGTTGGATTCGGGTTTCCTGATGGATTTATTGTCTGAGGGAGGATTTTAACCCAGTAGTTCTCATGCTTAGACGAAACCTACAGTGGTACCTCGCTTGACGACGTTAATTCGTGCAGCGAAATCGCTGTAGAGTGAAATCGTCGTCAAATGAAATAAAAGACCCATTGAAACGCATTAAAAACTGATTAATGCGTTCCAATGGGCGAAATACCTAATCGTCCAGCGGCGGCCATTTTGAAGCCCGACGATCAGCTGATGGAAAATCACCGTAAAGCGAAAAATTGGTTCCCAATCGTTGCTAAGCAAAAGAAACCCATTCAAACATCGTTTTGCGATCACAAAAACATCATCATGAAGCAGATTTGTCGTTATATGGGGTAATCGCTAAGCGGGGCACCACTGCAACTGGTATGCCATACTGCCTCTGTGCGTCAACACTTTCTAAGAAATCACATTCCAGCTGGTTAGATAAATCAGCAGTGCCTTAAAATATCTTGGCCAGGGTTATATTTTGACATATGAGCGTTCACTCTGACCTTTCCCATAGCCAGAGGTGCATACATATGACCCCCCTCCCACGAATCCAACAACTCTTGGGGGGGCCCACAGGTCCCCTATAATTCATTTATAAACCCCGTGGAGGAAATACTGGCAGATTTAATTCTTGAATTTTCAAGAATGGTGAGGTATGGACGATGCAACCTAGTTTTGTGAATTTTAGAGACTTTTTTCCTCATGAATTTTAGGGAGCCTTTTTTTTTAAATGTAAGAGTAAATGATGATGACGACATTCAGGAAAAAAAAGACGCAGAGAGCAACCCAGGGAATAAGTTGTCTGTCTGCACTGGCCTCGCCTTCTCTTGCAAAATACACTCTACTTGACTTGGAAAGCTTCGAGCTATTTTCGTCTCCAGGATCTATCAATTACTTGGAGTGTCTCTTTAAAAGCAGCAGCAACGGAGGATGATGAAGATCTGCTGGGATCAGCTCTGCAGAGGAAATGGCTTTTAAAACATTTGTTCAGGGTTTCTCTCCTCTGTGGGAAGGACTCCAGTTTGGGCAGGTTTTCTGAAAACCCCCCCAAAAAGCAAAGGTAGTTTTGTTTACTGGCTTCGTGATTTTTATTTTCTGCCGTTCCTCCGTGAGATCAAGGCAACACCCATCGCTTTTCGTCTTCCCAACTTCCGTCCCTAAAATCAGTCTTTTGAGGTGGATCGTGAGAAGGAAACAGGAAGCGAATTTTTAAAAACAAAAATAGCCCTTCGCGCAACTTTCCTCAATTCAGCATCTTTTAAAATATGGCGGGACACCAGATCCCATTGCTCTGTGATTGTGGTGGCCGGGGAGGATAGGGGTTGTAGTGAGATCCACAAATCCTGGGGCAGATTTCCTGGATCGAAAAAGGCACATCTCTCTTCTTTTATTGTTATATCCGTGCTTCTAAGAAGCTGGCTGTTGTTATGTGCTGTCAAGTCGGAACAGACGTAAATCCACCCTAAAAGGGCTGTCACGTTAAACAAAGTATTTAAGGAGTGGCTTTACCACTCTCCCAGTTGAGTTTTCATGGCTGAGTGGGAATTCGAATCCTGGTCTCCAGAGTCTTAATCCATCACTCTGTTCTCTACACCAGTGGTTTCCAACCTTGGGTCCCCCAGATGTTCTTGGACTGAAACTCCCAGAAGCCTTTCCCAACCATCTGTGCTGGCCAGGATTTCTGGGAATTGTAGTCCAAAACCATCCGGCTTACCCAATGTTGGGAATGAGTGCACTCTGCCACACTGGGTGCCTGTAAGAGTTGAACGACGCCGTGTTAAATCATTGAATCAGGAAAGAAAGAAGACATTATTTAGGAAATCTCTTGTGAAACACAATTTTGTTTGCTCTGTGTTATATATTTTTTTTTTTTCCTGAAAGAAAGAAATGAACCAAAGTGCTTATCAATTTCTCTTCTCTCTTTTTTTTTCTAGTACTGCAACGGAGGAGACCTGGCGGATTATTTACACAGTAAGTCAATGGCCGTTGGCCGCATTTACTAGATTAAATAGTTCTTGAAATGCGTGCAACTAGAACACTTGTAATTTGTAGCTCGCCTGGCGTTTGGGGCTCAACACACACACTCCGCTTGAGGTATTGTTGGCTTTTCTAGGAAAACTATTACCGGCTTGTAACATCTCCAGCGGGGTCTCCATCCAGTAACTGAGGTGTATTGCATTGGGTATATGTCCAGCCCTAATCTAGGGTAGGCAAAGCTGGGCTAATTTTTCATCCTGGCTTTATCCCCTTGTGTGTCATTTCTTTTGTTGCTTTGTTAAATGCTTTCCTTGACTTCCACAATCTTGAGTGCGAGGTTCACCTCCTTCCTACATCGTTCTCACAACAGCGTTGTGAAGCTGGACAGGTTGAGAGAGAAAGATGGACTGGTTTAAGTGTATTGAACCTAGTAAGGCTTCTAACTAGATGCCAGAATGTATAATTTAGGTCAGTGCTAACCGATTAAGGTGGAGCTGCTTGTGTTGCTGTTTATAAGGTCACTGCAATTAAGCTCCCCCCCCATCCTGTTCATTTGGCTCGTTATGAGGACTGTCAGGGATTTGCTTTAGGCTAAGATTGTGATTTTTGACCCAACTCCGGGAGGCAGTGGAAGACAGGAGGGCCTGGCATGCTCTGGTCCATGGGGTCACGAAGAACCGGACACAACTAAACAACAACAAGATTGTGATTGAGGCTCGTTGAAGAAAGGGAATTAAGAACGGGACGTCTGCTTGCACTGGGATCTCGACCTTCATCTCTTGCGTTCTAATTTTGCAAAAAATAAAAGAGAAGTTGAATGAACGGGTCGAATACCATATTAGATTCCTCAGATCGGCCTCTCCTCCAATACCCTTTCAGACAAAAGGAAGGCTGTCACTCAGAAGAAAGCTTGAGTCTCCCCCTTTGCCTCTGGAACTCCATGCCACTAGATATTGGAGTAGAATTTGGCCCTTGAGCTGAAGGAGGGTCCTCACCCTTAGTGGGCAGGTGGACAACTCTCGGGGGTCTAAGAGACCATGTTCCATCCCAGGAGATAGCACAGACCTCCCCTAATGTTAAACATGACTAAAATTGAAACTAGATGTGACTAAAAATCCACTTACTGGAGAAGACAATAATGCTGGGATGCTCAGTGGTTTAGGTGTCAAACTGGAGAGCCAGAGGTTGGGAGATCGATTCCCCGCTTTGCCTCCTTGACAAGGGACTGCACTCGGTGACCTATTGGGTCCCTTCCAACTCTGCGGTTCTAAGAGTTTTATTATTATTAAAATGAAAGGCCCAGCAGGAAAAGAGGCAGGTTGAACGTGAGATGGATTGACTCATAAAGGAAGTACCAACGTTGGATTTGCAGGACGTGGACTTCGCAGGGCTCTTCATGAAGCAGCCTTTTGAAGGCTGTTCATTCATCGGGCTGTCGCACGTCAGACACCACAGGGTGGCCTTTGACGACGGCAGAAATCCGCTTTGGAACATCAGTAATTGGGAGCATTAAGTGGAGCAGAGAGGTGACGCACCCCTCCTGCTGGCTTCCACCTTTATTTTTTTTCCTCGGAAAAAAATAGCTGGAGGAGAGGTGTACAAAGTAAATGTCTGTCCCAAACCTCTCAACGGGCTGCCTTTCACTTACCAGCTCTTTTGAATTAGAGGAAGTTTACAATGGATAATTCTCATTTCTCCCCCCCCCTCCCCCCAAGCTTCCTTCCTTTTTAAAAGCATTTAGTCTGGACAGATTAAAGCTGTCTCCTTCTGTTTATTCATGTCTTTCTAGAGCGGTTTTTTTTTTTTTGGTCGGTGTTTAAAAAGACAACATTGATCTCGTTGATTGTCATTTCCTTTCTTTTTTTTCCCTAACTGCCTTTGTAGCCCAGTTGGTCTGTGTGACAAGGAAACATTATGCTTCGAGCTTTCTTCCATTAAACAGCTGGAACTGAAGGCTTGGATCTGTATTTTTTTCCCCCCTCTCCTCTCTTTGGAGCTAGAATTTTAACGGGTTGTGGATCATTAAACAGGCTCTGTGTGCAGAACGGGCATCGTCGCCGGCGTTCGCCTGGCTTAGTGACTGGAATTCCGGCTGCGTCTTGGCACCCTGGCTGTGGGCTTGGAAAAATCGAGCAAAAAAAGTGAATTCTGCCAGAAAAAGAAGGAAAAAGACTTTCCTTTAAGGAACCTGTCGAGTACAAACCTTAAAGATGGCTGTTAAAGAAATTGCTTTCTGGGTTGTCACCCTTGAAAAAGAGGATGGACGGGGACTTAGACATGGTGGCTCCCCCAATTCTTGAATGCTTTTCTCAGATAGCACTGCCAGCGTCTATTTTCTCATGCTTCTCCTTTGGAAACACGCCTGTTTCTCTACAGCAGCAGTTCTCGACCTTGGGTCGCCAGATGTTCTTGCACGCAGAAGGCTTCACCACTGGCCAGGATTTATGGGAGTTGTAGTCTTAAGAACATCTGGGGATCCAAGACTGAGAACCAGTGCCTTAAAGCCTGGTAAGATTTATTTTATTTGGCGGTGCTTCCCAGCCGTGGGTCCCCAGATGTTCTTAGACTACAACTCCCAGAAGCCTCCACCTCCAGCTGTGTTGGCCCGGATTTTTGGGAGTTGTAGTCCAAGAACATCTGGAGGCGCAAGGTTGAGAACCATTGCTCTGCAACTGATTTTTGTGAAGGTCTTGGGTGCGAGTTCTGCTTCTTAAGTACAGCACCACCCCCTCCACGCGAGTGATGTAGCCGAAAGCTGAGAGAGACCCCGAAGTTTGTAGATATACAGAGAATCTTTAGGAGGAAAACCTCACGAGGATTTAACCCCATTGGTGTGTGTGTGTGGGGGGGAAAGCACGCTGAGGGCCGAACATGCTTGGTGGATTCAGAATACCCACTGATTTTGGGGTGAAAACAGAAAAACGGACAGGAGATTCAGGAGAAGCTGGAAAGAAGACTACGGATGGCAGACGGCGTTCTGTTTCGTAATTATTTGTTGAAGGCCACGCATGTCATGCTTACTAAGTCAAATGGCGTGGTGTGAAATCAAATTTGTTCCACAAAAGATACGCTCCGAATCTCTGCCGACGTATTGCATCTGGCGAGTCTTCAGAAACGGGTTGTCTTGTCTCGTGGTTGTACGTGAACCTTGGGTCTCCATCTTATCTATGCATAAGTTCCTGCTTGGTCCTCTCTTTTTTTTGGTGATTGTCGTTCGTGAATCCGTCTTGTCTCGTGGTTGTACGTGAACCTTGGTCCTCTATTTTATCTATGCTTAAATTCCTGTCTGGTCCTCTTTTTTGGTGATTGTCGCTCGTGAATCCGTTGCATTTCTTCTTCTTCGAGACGCGTTGTGTTAAAACGTTCTGAGTGCGCAATTTTCGTCTTTCGTGCTTTGCTGATCTCTGCTCCGATCTTGGGCACGTTGGTGTTACCAGCTGGCGTATCTCTTGCCTCTTCTTCTTCTTCTTCTTCTTCTTCTTCTTCTTCTTCTTCTTCTTCTTCTTCTTCTTCTTCTTTTTCTTCTTCTTCTTCTTCTTCGAGATGCGTTGTGTTAAAACGTTCTGAGTGCGCAGTTTTCATCTTTCGTGCTTTGCTGATCTCCACTCCGATCTTGGGCATGTTGGTGTTATCACGTGGCGTATCTCTTGCTTTTAGTCTGCATTCGTCTAAAGAAATGTGGAGGGAATGCATCCGTAGTTTTGGGAGCCGGCCCTGTTTCTGGGCAGAGTGAACCAGCTAGAAACTTTTATTATAATTTTTTAAGGCAAGAGCCGGGGGTGGGGTGGGGGGAAAGAAAGCTGCGATTCACAGGAACTTTTGACTTGGGGCCTGTACAGCATTATGTGTGCCGGCGTCAAAGGAGAAACGAAAACGTTTCGAACCCCCTTCTGTATGATCGTTTGGGGAAGATAGGACCAAAAAGAGAGTCTTTTGTGTTGGGAATCACATACTTATTGTGGTCCTCCTGCCCCTGATAGGCTTTGATCGCTCCTCCATTTGCCCCATTAGCAGAAATGAGTCGTCTTCATGGAGGTAGGGAGCCAGACTTGACTGAATAAGCAACGTGTTTATTCTCTGGAGTGTCTTAAGCCTCGAGGTGGTCCTCACATGAGATAACTTTCATTTTCCGGTCACGCCTGCCCTGTTTCTGAGATTTTGCTTGGAATTCTTCAAGGTCTCGCCGCACCGTGAACTTTCTGGGGTGGAGGAGAGGTCCCCTCCAAGTCAGGAGAAGGGTTAGGGTTTTGGAGCGCTGAACTCTCTAGCCATCTTGCTGTTTCTTTCCACTTGCCCTGCTTGTTGAAGATGAATTCGTCTGTCATCCCTCTCACGTGGCAGGAGAGGAGATGAGCCTCCTTCTTGGCAATGTCCTCTCGCGGCATTAGTCAGCCTGCTTGCGTGTCGAGCGTGCCACTTGACACATCGCTCAGGCGAGCCCCGAGGGCTGGAGGCGGCTCTCCTTACCATCTTCAAGCATGAACCCACGCACCTGCCCGACGGGGTTGCTGATTCAGCTCGGCTTCGGAGGTCCTCGGCGCCTCCACTTTCTCTCTCTTTTATTTAGATCCCCGCGATGTTATGGAGGAGCCCACATTCGCTCCTAAACATTTCCTTGGAAAGAACATTGCTGCGTATTTCTGAGCCGTTGGGGGTGGTTTTGTTGAGGGTTGTGGCACCCATGGATATAGGATAGCTCAGTGGTTTGTGTCTCTGGCTGTGGAGCCAGAGGTTGGGGATTCGAATCCCCCACTAGGCCTCCTTGAGAGGGGCTGGACTTGATGATCTATAAGGTCCCTTCTAGGTCTGCAGTTCTAAGATAGTGGGAATGAGGACGATCCTCAATGGCAAATTATAGGCTTGGTTTATAGAAGGGTTGGGTCTGCGTGCGTAGACTGTATCACATCAGGCTAAGGTGGCCACTTCTAGAGAAGAGAGTCCTCCACCGATAAGGCTGCAAGAGAGCAATCCTGTTTTGTGAAGGTGTCTCCCATTTTAAGGTCCAAACCGGGAGTAAAGCTATAAAGGACTAGAAGGAGAGCCATCATCCTGAAACCACCCATCATCCACAGCCCCTGGAAGCAAACTCGGGAGGCCGCTTGTCTTCCCTCCCAAACTAGAAATTTTGCATTTCTGTTTAAATTATTGAAAACCTTTCTAACCTTGCGCCCGTACCTATAAAGCCAGCTTGATGACATTTTAAGCACACGCTCGAGTTCTTCTTCGCCCTCCATTTTGGTGGCGTGTAAGCAGTCGCCTCTCCAGCTGTTAGGCTGTGTGAGGTAAATTCCCCCGTGAGACCCACCTCGGATGCTCTCGAAATGTGATATATTTTTCATGTGCTAGATGCATATTTTTTCAAATTTGCCCTCTCCGGCAGCACAGAAGGTTTTGAATTTTGGGCCTCAGGAGTTGGGCGACCGAAGGGGAGGCGAAAACGTGAGGCGAGGACTGCTTTTTGTATCCCTGGGAACCATGGTGAGCTAGATGGGGGCCGAAGAACCTGGGGGGTATGCCCACCCCCCGTGGTTGCTTCTGAGGCATTTTGGAGTCGGCACTCGCATTGCGTCTCTGAACTTCAGCCAAAGCTGCCTGAAGGCTCCTTCTTTGGAAAGGGCCCTTCGTTCCTTTTCGTCAGAGGTCTCCGCAGGACGCCCGTGTAGCTTGCAGGTTGAGGCCCTCGCCCAATTAAAGAAGTGGTCAGTAATTAACCAACTGCGCTCCAGCCGTTGCAAACGAAGGAGTTGCTCTTTTGGACAGCCGGCGCGCTGAGGGCCAGGAAAACTTGATTTCTACCCCTGTGCAAAAGTCACTGAGTCATTTTGAGTTGCTTTATCTCTTATTGAAACCTACCTCGCAGGGTTCTTGTTGGGGGTAAAATAAAAAAGTGGGGTGAACCACATAAGGCACCTTGCCGGCAGGGTGGAAGAAAACAGGTATTATAACAACTGAGATGATCAACGGGTCAAAGGGGGTCAACATTTTCTGCACCGTTACAGTAAAACAACAGAGTAGAACCCGTTAACAAGAGTGCCTCCCGCTTTGTTCAGGGTTGCGTTGTTGTTTGTGAGAGGCAGTGTGGTACAGCGGGTAGAGTATCCGGCTAGGACTTGGGGCGACCGGGGTTCAGATTCGTGATCAGCCACAGAAATTTGATGTGTGTGTGTGTGTGTGTAACGACATGCCTTAAACGTCTGATAGACCCCAAATTTTAATTAATCGTGGGCTGTCAAGTCAAGTCTGACTTACGGTGACCCTTTTCGGGGTGCTCAGAAGTAATTTATCATTCTGTTCTGGGATTCCCTGGGACTGTGCAGCTTGCCCAAGGCTACCCAGGCTGGCTTTTCTCCCTGGAAGGCACAGTGGGGAATTGAACTCCCAACCTCTGGTTCTGTAGACCAACCCTTTTCTCGTTGAGCTATCCAGCCAGCTCAAACCTCCTATTAGGGTTGCTTTAAGTTGGAAACGACTTAAAGGCCTATTATGCCCCAACGATGTTGTTTGGTTGGCTTCTAATACTTTAGTAGCCTCGAACCATCTTTGCAAATTGGCCTGAAATTATCAGAAGGTCAAGAGAGAGAGATGTTTGTGGGAAGAAAGAAATAGCTCTCGAATTGGATTTCGTGCCACATAAATGTTTGGGCATTAGGTGATTACAAATGATAACGGTGCTCGTTAGATGGTTACAAAGGGCAGTGGTATTTGTCCCTCGTTGTAATTAGTGTCCAACAAGGATGATGGCTGATTCCTCCGTGACTCACCTGGCTTCTGTCGCCGCTTCTTCTTCTTCCAGGTATGAGGACTCTTAGCGAAGACACAATCCGTCTCTTTCTCCAGCAAATTGCCGGGGCCATGAAAGTGTTGCATAGCAAAGGGATCATTCACCGAGATCTGAAGCCTCAGAATATCCTCCTTTCGTTTGCGGGAGGCAAGAAATCGAACCCCAATAACATTCGCATCAAAATCGGTAAGGGCCAAAGGTGTCTGCTGATCCGAAGCTGGTGGATTCCAACCTCCGTCTTGAAACATCTGGTTTAGATTCGCAACAGGGAGAAGCCTCTGTAGTGTACGTGTGTGTGTTTGTGTGGTGTCGAATGAGAATAAAGAAGGTTATTTTGCCAACCCATAGGGTTCCGTTGCGACGAAACCAGCAAATTTTCTGCTAACGTAACTTAATGGTTAAAATCCTGTCGCCGACGTAACTCAAAGGGCATTAAATTTTGGAGGCAAATCGCTGGGTGTTATGAAGCCATTTGTCGTGTGCTGGGTTGTGTTAACTCAGTACACCAAAGGTAATGTGGATGCTGATATAAATGCTTCTCTGTTGTAACCATGTGCCTCCACCCCTTTTAAAAAATCTTTGCATCTCCATGCAGCTGATTTTGGATTCGCCCGGTACCTACAGAACAATATGATGGCGGCCACTCTCTGCGGCTCTCCGATGTACATGGTAAGTAAACCATGATTACATCTGTTCGCTTTTTCTGTGCGAGAGGACTGCTCTTCTTTAAAGGATTGGGGAATGTTTTTGAAAAAGTTGTATTTCTCCGGGTTCCGGAGCAGATAAGGGCTCTTGGATCCAGTTGCTTCTTGTCTTGTTTCTCACTGTAGGGTTCCATCTGTTGCTTTTTTTTCCCATCATGGACTTTGTTGGGTTTTTTTGGGGGGGGAGAGTTTTTTCTTCCCTTCGGAGAGAGCCAGAGGAAGGCGCTGGTGCTGTTTAGCCCTGCCAGTCCCTAAAGAGGTGGAGAAGGTAAAATATAGGGAGCTGAATTCTAGTAATTCAGAACTTGTAATATGCAGATTAGTGTTTTTTGGACTGTTGGATTCCGGGAGGGGCGGTCCATAATCACGGATTTGCACACCCGGGGGTCCTTTTTGGGCAGCGTTGCTTAGAACTGTTGTTGGTGACTCTACAGCGGTTTCAGACAGGCTTTCTTCTAGTGAAGGGAAAATGTACTTCTTTAGAGTAATAATATACTCGCAGGCCATCAAATCAATTGTGACTTATGGCAACGCTTTCCAGGTAGAAAATACTCAGAAGTGCTTTACCATTACCTTCCTCTAGGGGGCAACCTTGAGACTGTGCAGCTTGCCCAAGGCTACCCAGGCTGGCTCTTTTCGTGGGAGGCACAGTGAGGAATCAAACTCCCAACCTCTGTCTCCACAGCCAGAACAGCCTACCAAATACTCTATGCTGGGATTATCCCAACATTGATACACAAAAAAAGTAACTTTTCCAAATTCTAGGGGTTTTCTTCCCCCCTCCGCCTGGGGATAGCAGGATTTGAACCTGCGACCTTCAGGAATCCATGCAGACATCGGGATCCTGAGCAATTGTCAATATTCTTGCTAGTCCACGCTGCTTGTCTTAATACTGTCTCACGTTGCGTGTAATGCCCTGGAAGCCACTGAAAAGCTGGACTTTATTTTGATGGCAGGGTCCCGCCCCTTCATTTGCACGTCTATGTTTTTCTCCTCGTTATCGTGCTGGAATGTGATGATGCAACCTGTGTACACGTTGATCGGCATTTATTGCATGAATGTTGTGCCCTCTGGGCCAAAACAACGGTGTTCTGTGTACGGTAGGACACCTTGGACTTTTGTGGACGTTCTATTCTCCGAACTGGCTTTGTTCTCCGAACTGGCTTTCTAGTTGACCTTAGCCGGGTCAACTCCACCGAAAGGGCTTTTGAGATTATGCGTCTGTGCTTTGGATTTGCCTTTAGGCAGTGCCTGTAACTACGTCCCCCGATGGAGGGGAGTAGCTAGAGCAGTGGTTCCCCAACCTTGGGCCTCCAGATGTTCTTGGACTTCAACTCCCAGAAATCCTGGCCAGCAGAGGTGGTGGTGAAGGCTTCTGGGAGTTGTAGTCCAAGAACATCTGGAGGGCCAAAGCTGGGGACCACTGAGCTATGGGACTTGGGAGAAATGGTGGTCTGGCTGCTGTTGCTGCCCCCCACAACATCTGCCGCCTGAGGCCGTTTCCTGAATCTACCCAACGATGGGGCCGGCCGTAAAACAATAATTGTGCCAGTTCACTGGTCGGTGGGTTTATTTCTAACCACTGTCATCACAAGGAATGCCAGTCTCCTTGACTTACTATGGGAAGGGATGTAGTGATGGATGTAAACCCTTCTTGATTTGAGTCTTGCCGTTGTGTTGTATACACAAAAGACTGGGTTGTGCTCCTTCGACCCACAGCTGTTCATCCTGTTGTATGTGGAAAGCTAGGGGGGGTCTTCTCATTCTGAGTTCAGTTTCGCCTGGACGCAACCTCAGGGCCTGTTTACATCAAGGGAACCGAGCTCCGAAAATATGAACGAGGTTCGGATTGAGTTTACCTAGTAAATATGTTACTGTATGTGGGAGTCCTGATAGTTTCCCTTCTGGGCATCTGAGCCGGATCTTTTGTTTCTATCAAATCCTTGCATCGTGGACCGTTAGCTGTGTTTTGTCGTTATAAAAGGACACGATCCGTAAAAGAAGGTGGATCTTGTATGCTTTCAGTGTTACGGCAGACATTACAGCTTACAACACCCTTCTGACTTGCATAGCTCCAAAAAAATACAGTGAATTTGTCCGATTTTCGGGTGCTAAATGGATATCGACCTGTATGAAGTAGGGCATTTCAAAGTAACCAGGCTGTCAGGCTAAGCAACCAGCAGGGACTGTGTTCAAAGAACCGGCTGTGTTTAAGTCTGTTAATATTAATAAGAAGATTTGTTTACAGCCTTGTGTACAGACAAAGGTTAATTACCGTGGCCTCGGAAATCAGGAGGTGATTCAGAAAAAAAGAAAAGAAACCAAGCCTCTTCCTGAATCAACATCTTGATAACCATACACAGAGCCGAGAGGCTTAGTTAGGGACAGGATGTTTCTTTGATCGATGGTTCACGACTTGGGTGACTAAGGGATGAAATTTGAAACTTGGAATTTGAAAGTTCTGCATCCCTTCCCACAAAGTGTATTTGTAGATAAACCTGTAACTGATGTGTTTCACTCCAAAACCAACACGTTATTGGCTGTTTGTGTTTGCCCAAGTTCAGTGGCTAAATCGTAGTGGTGAATTTGTGTTAGTTGCTGCTCTTATTCCGTGTCATGCGCCAAACGCCTGACGTGGTGCATGGCGAGACATACAGGCGACAACTCGTTAACATGCAGGAGTTCAATGCGACAATTATCACCATTGCTGGCTTAGATAACCAAAAGGATTTGGGGGTCGTGAGTCTGAGAAATTGGACTGTAGTCCATGAAACATCACCCTGAAATAAATCTGTTAGCCATTAAGGTGACACAACACTTTTCTTGCTTATTTTTAATCAACAGTAATGTCTTGAAGTCTGCTTTGTGAGATTAGGGCCGGCCGTTTTCAGGAATCAGATTGACAATCCTGAATTTATTTTTTTCCGACTGCCAAAACGAAGCAACGCCCTCTGTGCACAAGAGGGAGGTAGCAGGCAATTTGTGTATTTATTTAAAATATTTAGGGTTAGGTTTGTTGGAGCTAAAAAATCTCTTGGGGGAAGATCACGTTAATGTTGGGGAGATGCCTGAAATGACCCAGTGAGCACCGGCCGTGCAGGGTAGGGACAATTTGCTGACTGATACAAACTGGAAAGGAAACATGGAAGGGTAGCCGAAGGGAACAGAACGGAGAATCTGAAGAAAAGGTGTGGCTGGCGGGCTGGAGACCCAATCAAGAGCACTCACGCTGCAACATTTTCTTGCAGACTCTGCTCTTTTTTTCTGGAAAAATCCAGATTTGGAGAGTAGGATGAAACATGGGTGGTGGTAAGGATCAAGAGCTACAAAACCAGCTACTTTTGCATCACTGATTCTGGTGGCAAGAGTTTGGGGCTGCGCTGGTGTGGGCTGATTCGAATCCAGAGCCATAGTCAGCTGTTTTGCCCACGGGGACTTTCCTGCCCTGTCGGTTAAGCTTAGGATTTGTAAGGAGAAGACAGAGAGGAATCGAAATAAAACATTAGGGTTTAAGAATATGTTGGCCCTAGGTATGGAGTTGCGTGTTTTCTGTTTCCTCCTGTCCGCGGAAGAGAAGCTGGGGCATGCACACCCTCTAGAAGCAAATTATGTGCTCTCACGGTTTCGGCAATTGGGACCAAAGCCCCTATTATCTCATTCTACTGTCGGCTCTGCTCTAATTTCAAATCATCATCATCTTAGAATTGCCGAGCTAGAAGGGATCCTCCAAATCATCATGTCCGGACTGGCTGTCAGGGGAGAGACGAGAATCAGTGGTGCACCCTTAGCTTTTGTTTTCTGAAATTCCACAATTTGATCTAATTGGGACCCTTCATTTCCCTCTCTTCCAATGGTGTGTTTTCTGGATCTGACGGGCGCCTTTCTCCGCCGTTGAGCCGGGAGTGCCTCGCTCGAGGCGGCCGTTTTGTCAAAATTGAGAGGACGGATATGGGATTGTCTGTGGCGTCGTCGTTGCGCTCGGACAGCACGTTGTGGATGTTTGTCGCCTGTCGGCCTCCTTTTTTCGCTTTCCAGATGGTCTTTTGTACGAGAGAGAGAGAAAAGGAGACAGAAAAAGCACACGCAGATAAACGACATCCTTTTGGCACAGCAGCCAAGTACCTGGGCAATCTGGGAGATGACATTCTGCCTCCCCTTTTATCTCCTGCCATTAATATATAATCCCGTTCGCTCGCGAGAGTGCTTCCTTTGAAAGGGAAGAGAATAGGCAGAGCCACAGAGAAGACAGAGTCAGTTTCTAGGTTGCTCTGGATTCGGAGGGGGGAAATGAATGCTCTCATTCACTGCTGATTTGCCGAGCTTCTAATGGAAACTCTCGTCCGTGTGGGTTTGAAAACCTTGCTTGGAGAAACGGGCGTTTGGCCTTGGGATCTTTTCACACTGATGCTCTTCCGGGATTCTCCTGTATGTGTTCATCCCTTGATAACGACAAGATCGAGGGAGGCTCTCGCGTGCGCGGAGGGCAGACGGCACCGTCATCTATATCCCTGTAGATGCAACAGCATGGATTATCTGGAAATTGAGTGATGGGCGTCTTGGCAACTGGATTTCTTTCTTGTTAGGTTGGAACATTTCGCTACTCATCCGTTTCAACCTAACGAGAAAGAAGCCCGGTGGCCAAGACTCAACTTCCAGATAATCACACCTGGATGACGGAGAATCTTCACAGATAACACTAAGGATTGTTCGTCATGACCTAATTGTCTTTAGGCTGCTTTGACCGTACATTTTCCAAGCGCTGTTCGCAATGTCCACTTCCTTCCTTCCTTCCCTCCCTCTCTCTTTCTCCTGGTCCAAAGCAACCTTGGTGTCTTTCTGTAGGTCAGTGGTTCCCAAACTTGGGTCTCCAGATGTTTGTGGACTACAACGCCCAGAAACCCCAGCCAACACAGCTGGTGGTGAAGGCTTTGGTGGGTTTTAGTCCAAGAACATCTGGGGACCCAAAGTTGGGAGCCTCTGCTGGAGATGAGTTGGCCAAGGTAAATAATGGTTTCGCACCCTGGTTTGGAGGAAAGCTGGTTTCTAGGGAGCCTAGTTTACTTGCTTTGGGGGATAACAGTGGATGAGGATTAATAACGGGAGACAGTAGCTGAAATCCTGGTGCACAGTTACGCAAAAGGCGTAACCTTGACATGCCAATTGCTGGAATTTAAGAAATTTCCCTAGGCATTATCTGTGGTGTGTCGAGTCGTGCAGCTTTGCGTACAACAGGGAGTTCCTTAACTTCTGGCAGTTTATGACTACAGGTTCCATTTTTTGTGTGTGTAATTGCACAACTGGATTTCAGCCAATAAGTGCATGCAGATCATACTGCATCGGGCACCATGGCCAAATGATTTCATGATGATGACTTATTTTTCCTGCTGTTTTTGATGTCCGGGCCACATCTTGAGCCATGAATCATCCCACGTGTCTTATAAATCTAGCCTCCGTCTGTTGTGCTACATATAATTTGACACTTGATTTATCCCTGTACAGTATTTAGCAAAGGGGAAAACATCCCTCGCTTTACGGGAAATGGTTTTGCCTTTTTTATGGGTTCTGGACCTGATCCTTTTGTCATCTGCAGACAGAGAGAGAGAGAGAGAGGTTGATTCTGATTTTCACAGCCAGGAGAATATGGGAGGAGAGAGAGATTTCCAGTTTATTGTTGCCAATTTTAGAAAGATGGCCTTGGTCTGCTCTCTCACACCTCTCTCTCTCTCTCTCTCTGTTGTGGCTTCAGCCAGGTTGCCTCCCTCGCATTTGCTGAGGTTGCAGAAATAACCAGGAAGGAAAAATTAAAGACGAAGAACTAAGGTTGGCAGGGAGCCGTGGAGGAGAAGTCAGCAAAACTTGAAATAGCATCTGGTGGGCTGTTCAGGCAGCCCAAATAAAGGACGATGACCAAAGCAGTCATTTGATTCAGCCCTTTTTTTTCATTTGTGTTCCTGTTTTCCAGTGGCGATTGTACAATCACTCTCTGACCTCTTTCTGACTTCTTCCACAGCATATAAAATCTTGTGACTCCTTAAAAGCTAACGAGATGGGTGGAACGGCTAACGAGCCATTGCAGGCTGCAGCCTACTTTCGTCAAAGTCCAGAGTTTGTAGGAAGGGGTTTATATATGTGGTTAGTTGGAGTTGTTGTTGTGGCTGTTCTCCACTGACCAAGTTGCCCCCCGTCATTCGGCATCCCCATGAATGAACAATCTCCACCATGTCCTGTCCTCAACACCCCTGTTCAACTCTTGCAAACTGAAGCCTGTGGCTTAGCTGAGTTAGTGCTTTCTGACGTGGGAGTCTCATCTTCCAGCACTATCTCTTGTTACGTTTTGGACTTTCTCATCATAGGGTTTTCATGGTAACCAAAGTTCAGGTTTACCATGGCTACCTTCTGCACAGTACTAAAAAAGTTAGCTGGAGTTTCACCGCATCCCTTTTCTTGCCCATCAGAGTCACTTTCAGCTCCCGCTTCTATGTAGCAGCTGCCTTGAAGAGGGTGGATACATTAGTTAGAATGTAAAATAGTACAGAAATTCCAAAGATATCTGTATGGTGGAAGAATAAATAATGTAAAAGGTTGCCTAAACAGTGGTGATAAAACACACCAAAGCTGCTTTTGTGTTCTCTGTATTATCTATGAGAAGACAGGCCATCTTGCATAGATGAGCGGATAAACATATGCATTGAAATAAAAAGCCTTTATCTCTATTCAGGCCTCATTTGATGGAGTTGAACATGTTCTGCTCTTTCCCTTTGGAAACCAACTCTTGAAATTCTTCTGCTTAAAGAACGGTCCATTTTCTATTCTTGTGCCTCCTGGCCATCTTGATTTCAAGCCTTATCTCTATATCTAGAATCTCAGACCTTTCACTTGACTGGGAACAAAGAGTGTCACTCATTCACGGTGCATGTCTTAACCTGTCCGTCTAGGTTTCGACCTTCTGGTCGTCTCCAAATTGCTGTTGAAGAACCTCAAACGCTAAGGTGAAGACCATCACCGTGCTGATCTGTTTCGTATTTCTATTGCATTTCACATTCCTCCAAATGTATAAATGGGCCATTCTCTTCCTGCTATCTCTAGATTTTGTTTGGAAGTCTTCTTCTGTCCGAACTGGGGCACATATGGGCAACCCTACAGAGGTGCTGCTGGTCAAAACAGGTTGTACTGGGTTAGATAGGCATGAAGCTACTTAGTGAAGGAGAAGAGCGGATGTTCCGTATTTTTCTGTGTATAAGACGCCCCCATGTATAAGACGCCCCCCACTTTTCTAATCCAAAATTAAGAAATCTAAGTGGGGTTTAGCAAGTGTAGCGGGAAAGGGATCAAAGCGCTGCAGAATCGCTTTGATCCCTGCTTTCCCCTCCACTTGTTTTTGTTCTCTCCTCAGCTTGCATCCGTGTATAAGACGACCCTCAATTTTTAGTCTAAAGATTTTAGACAAAAGTATAGTCTTATACACAGAAAAACACGGTATTTTGGAGAGAGCCCGGAGAATCATCTTTAGAAATTCAAGGCGGACTCCTCCATACTGCCGTCGAGGTGTTCTGCCTGGTCTGGTCTCGTTTTGTTTTTTCTCCACATTCTTTAGACTTGGCTACCTCCAGGTTAATCGTCCTGCCCGCCCGACCCTGCCTGTCTAAGGTCCCTGAGGGCAAATCTCACAAATGTTCCCAAGAGGGTGGCACCGTTTGTACAGAGGGTGCTGGCTGGACCTCGTGAACCTGCCGAGGACAGAAATAGTGCACATTTTGTTTCATTATCTTATCAGCCTTCGACAAAACAAAAACAACGGAAAGTCACAACCTGCAAAGTGCTGTTTATGAAGCAATGAAAGGAGTTACTTGTTAACACTGTCATGAATAACAACAACAGGTTATTTCTCAGATCCTGTGACCATTAATTGAGGGGGGGGCTTAAATTAAGGAAGTGAACTTTTCCCGGGGTCTAAAGCTCCATCTATTGACATAATTCCGGTGTGGGGCTGCGAGGCGGCCGATAAATTAAATTTCCACGTGTTACCAAAAAGAGGCGTCCGGACTAGCCTTTGAAACTTGCTTTGTTTTGACAACACACTCGAATGGATGCAATTAAGGACGGTTATTGATCTGTACACAGATGAAGAAGTGGCAGAATATGATTCTTTTTCATCTTCACTTGATCGAGCAAGAAGTTGTGGATTGTTTTTGTGTGTGCTGCCTTTCCCCCCCCATTAAAGCAGCATTCATGCCTGAATTAACGAGATTAGAGTTATGAAACGGTCTTCTCCTGGCCTGTATTATGCCGTTTCAAGCTGAGAGCAAGCCTTTAATCTCTTCCCCGCCCCTAATCATAACTAGTACTTTGTGTGTGTGTTGTTGTTGTTTTTAATGGATTGGCAGGGAGAGAAGCCAAGGGGGCTCTGTTTTCCTGTGTGGTTACTGAGAAGTGACGAGGCTGAAAGCATTGAGCAAAACACTGTTGTTATTATTCTTTTATCCTTATTTCTTACATTTATATACTGCCCCCTTAGTGCGATGCACTATTATGGGCTGTTTTACAGCAATAAAAGCACACGCCATGGGCTGTTAAGTTGCTTCTGACCCTAATCAGGTCTTGCAAACTCAAGCCCGTGGCTTCCTGTACCAAGCCTATCCCTCTCACATTGTGTCTTCCTACTGCCTTCCACTTTTCCCTGCCTGATTGTCTTTTTTTCCTCTTTTCCTACTGCCTTCCACTTTCCCCTGCCTGATTGTCTTTTTCGCTGAGGCGAACCACAATATTCTGGTTTGTTTCCCTTTTGCAGGCTCCAGAAGTCATTATGTCCCAGCACTATGATGCCAAAGCAGACCTGTGGAGTATCGGGACCATCATCTATCAGTGTTTAACGGGAAAAGCACCTTTTCAGGTGAGTTTCCTTGCTTCTTGGTTTCCACCTTTCATCGTCCAGCTGCTTTTTTCCCCGTCGTAGTTTTCTTTCGTCGAAACGAAAGCCCTCTTATCTTCCATTTTAGACATTGGTGGTCTATAAGGAGAGCCCTGTTTGGTCTTCGGAGGAGAAGACCCAGGAGAAATGTTCTCAAACTCTAGTTGAAGGCCACACCGTCTTTCTCTTTGGTCCTGCTAGACGAGGGAAGAAAGTGTCCCTAATAAACCGAAGAATTAAAATCTTGGGATGAGGAAACTGGAAGATCAGTGATCAATGTCATGGGGTTTTCTCTCCTTTGTTAGTTCTTTGAGTAATAAAAAAGCCTCATTGGGTACTATAGGATGGAAATGTTTCCCAGGGGTTTACCTGGGATAAGGTGTTGGGAAGTGGTCTCCTCCCCGCTTCTCCCAAAAAAAGGAACTTTTGGACCTTTTTAAAAACTAACTTTTGCACCACACAGCGGGAGACAAGCAAGAGTGCGTGGAGAGCACGTGGATTTAAACTTTGGGGTTTTCTCTATGAGAAAATGAAAACTTGGAAGATTTTCTCGGGTGCTCCTGTTTTTCCTGGAGGGCTATTGTATGATGAGTGGCTACAGCCAAGTTCCCAGTTTTTCCCCCCGTTTCCTTTCTTTCTGTGTGTCTGCCACAGCCGGGTTTGATGAGGCCCATTGCATTTATTTTTTTCCTTCTAAAAAACGTGAGCGGGTTGGTGTTTTGTTTTTAAATCTCCGTGCGGCTGGGGCAGAGTGGTCTTAACTCTTTTTTTCCCCCTTTTGCTTTCGTGAATCGCTCCTTGTGTCTTGATCGTGAGAAAGGTCAGCTGGAGTCGTAGGAAGGCGAGGCAGATGGAGAATGGAATTTGGAATGAAGAGGTTTCACTCTCTTAAGTTTTTGTTAACGAAGTAGCAAAACATCAGAGCAATTTTGGGGTTGTCCCTCTGCGTGTGTGATTTGCAAAAAAAAAAAGTTTCAAAGTTTTTCCTAATTGAAGCTTCTTAAAAGTAGAACAGTGGGTTTTGTGTGTATGCTTGAAGGCACCTTTTACTGTCTTAAGAACCTAAGAAGAGCCCTGCTGGATCAGGCCAAGACCCATCCAGTCCATCTCAGTCATAGGGGGCCCACCTGATGCCTCTGGAAGCACACGAGACCACTAGACACCTCTCTCCTGATCCTCCTCCCCTGCGAAGCGTGGGAGATTGTACATCCCCATCATGTCTTGTGACCTATGCTGGACTTTTCCTCCAGGAATCTGTCCGATCCCCTTTTCAAGGCCTCTAGGCCAGATGCCACCACCGCATCCTGTGGCAAGGAGTTCCGCAGACTAGCAACACAGCGGGCAAAGAAATGTTTTCTTTCGTCTGTTCTCCCAACACTCTATTGGCGTGGACGTCCCCTGGTTTCTGGTATTGCATGAAAGAGAAAAGAGCTTCCCTGTATCCCTTTTACCCATCCCCTGCATCATTTTATAGGTCTCAATCATGTCCTTTTCCTGATTTATACGTCTCAATCATGTCCTTTTCCTGGTATGAAGAAAAATCCTTTTAAAAATGGAATGTGTTGCTATTCCTATGGGATGGTTGAGCCCACGTAGCCATCTTGGCTGCCAAAGGAATTCCTCTTGTTTTGGGGGCTGGGGGGGCTAATCTCCCTGTCTCTGCTTCGTAAGCATTTTAAGCCACCCCGACAAACCTTTTTAGGAAGGGAGTTGGCAAAGTTCCAGAGTGTCCCGGGTTGAGATGTTTTTTGAGACACGGGAAAAACGGGAATACTTTGTGAAATGCTGGAAGTCGAGAAGGTTGATGTACACGTTTTGCTTATTTAATTTCACAGGTGAGAACAGCTTGGCAAAAATTCCTCTCCCTCCTGGGTGAAATTAGGAAGTGGACAAAATCTTTTGGACTCTGGCTGGCTTATCTTTTTTTTATTACAGTTGTCTTCGGGCACATCTGCATTGGCTCTTTTGGAGTGGGCTAAATAAGTGGTTGGAGTCAGGTGGGGAGGCGTTATGCCCTTCGGGGCAATCTGGATGTCGTATCAGAGCTCAAACCGTAGGCCTCTAGGCCAGATGCCACCACCGCAGTGGTGCCTCGCATAGCGAGGTTAATCCGTTCCGGATTAACCTTCGCTATGTGAAAACTTTGTTAAACGGAAAGTAAAAAGCCATTGGAACGCATTAAACATTGTTTAATGCATTCCAAATCGGCTGAAAACTCACCGTTTAGCGAAGTCTTCCCATAGCCGGCAGCCATTTTCGCGCCCTCAGTAAGCGAGGGGAGGGCACGAAAACGCTGCGCGCGGCCATTTCGGCTGTTCCGGCGGCCATTTTGGACCCGCCGAACAGCTGATCCGCGGGCCGCAAAGCGAAGGTTGGTAAGCAAGAGTTTCGCCCATTGGGGCCATCGGTAAGCGATCGCATTAGCGATCGCGGAAACTGCATCACTATGCGATTTTGTCGTTATACAGTGCACTCGTTAAGCGAGGCACCACTGTATTGTGAAGCAGATCTTAGCTGCGGGCTGTTTCTTGACTGGTCCTTGAAAGAAAACCAAAGAAAATGCTATTTGGCTTCTTCTTTTTTTTCAAGGGATGCAGTGCATCAGCGATAGTCTATTACCGTTCTTTTCTTTCACTTCTTTTTCACTTCCTCTGCCAAGGAGCGGAGGAAGTGTTTAGTTTGTCGATACCCTGGACTGTGGGGCTTATGAAGCCCCTTCACGGTGTCAGAAATTCAAACTGGAAAGAACCTGGACCGCCAGGAAAGCTCGCTGTTGGTCGGTTCCCAGGGAGTAAACAGACCAGACCAAAGTGAATCCTACCCCACACCAAAGAAGTAGAACCAATTGTGTAATGGCTGGAAAAACAGAGTAAACGAAACAGCAGGACAAATGCCTGTCTGATCAAGCCCTTGGTTAACTTGGTCTGCCATTTTCATGCGGCTACTCGTATCTGCCAAAAGTAAAGATTTTCCTCTTACTTATCTTGGCACAGAGATCTTTTTATGATCAAGATTTGTTCTTAATGATAACAATTAGTTGGAGCCTTAGCCTGGGAGTGGCAGGAAGACAGCAAAACCAGTTTATCCTAATAAAGCAAAACCTGTTTATCCTTATTAAACAGATATTTGTGCTCTGCTTGCCAGTTGTGTCTTCAAAGAGGGGACGCTAGCAAGGAATCCCAACTTAAAAAAAAGTAGTGAAAAGCTTTGTTTTGTTTTTAAAGCTGTGTGTACTTATTTCAGACATCCATTCTGGAGGATAAATGTAATATTCTTTCTGATCATTTTCAGAAACACAACTCTTATATTGATTTTTTTAAAAAATCAAGCTTCTAGAGCTTAAAGTTGAGAGAGAGTGTGTGTGTGTATTTAGTATCTCCCTTTATGAGCCTGCCTGGGTGTTAAGATCATCATCAGAGGCCTTTCTCTCAATCCTGCCACCTTCACAGGTGTGTCTGATAGGGACCCGGGAGAGACTCTGGAACTCCCTCCCACTGGATGATAAAGGTCCTGGCCCCATCTCTGCTGTCTTTCCTCAGGCGGGCAAAAATCTTTCTCTCCAGGCAAGCCTTCCCTCTGTGACCGGGCTGCCTGAGGCCTCGATTATACAGCCTTATTTAAATTGGATTGACCTTAAAATGATTTTAATTTGAATAGTTTTTTTTTCCAACAGCTTGTTGTTTCTTATAGCTTTGAATGCATTTTAGATTTGTTTGCCTATTTTTTTGAGTGCGGCATTTTGCTGCATCCTTTTTAGTACTGGTACACTCGTCGTTTTTCGCTTTTCAACGTCGTCTTTAATGCTCTCTAAGCCACTTTGGGCCCTCTTTCAGGAGAAAGGTGTGTGTGTGGGTCCTCCTCTTTTAAATGAAGAAATCCCTTGCACTGTTTTGGCTACAGAAAAACCAACAGCCCATCTATGTTCTCTGATGGCGTTTGCTATTAATGAAAAGTGTCGCTCACGCTTCTTCTTTTCTCTCCTTCGCAGGCCAGCAGCCCTCAAGACCTCCGGCTCTTCTATGAGAAAAACAAGACGCTGATGCCCAAGTAAGCTTTCTTTTGGGGGGGCGTTCCTGCTCTTTTCCCCGCCTGCCAGGCTGCCCCCACTTGCTCGCTGGGCTTGGCACGTCCAGAAATCCTTTGGCGCCTGGCCTCCTCGCCGTTTCTTAGCCAGGGCGGGTAGAAATCCTCCCAGCGCCTGGCGAGTTGAAACTTGATGACCTCAGTTGACCTTGTAGACGGCCGTAAAAATATCCCGGGCTTCTTTTCTTTTCTTCTCCTTTTTCAAGCGAGAAAAAAGGTTGGTCGGCCACAACTTGGCCGCCAAACGGAACAACGGATTTATACAAATCCGGTCCCTTCGCTGCGGTGTAATACCCACCTTAGGTGTTTTTTTTCTCTCCCTCCACCCCAAGCATGTCATTCTTAGCTTGTCTTAATTCTTGTGCATGAAGGTGAAAGAACTGCAAAAAAAATGTTTGTATCCGTCAGAGTCATTGATCCATAGGGTCCCTTCTAGCTCTGTAGTTTTAAGGTGATGCCCAGCGCCTGGCGAGTTGAAACTTGATGACCTCAGTTGACCTTGTAGACGGCCGTAAAAACATCCCGGGCTTCTTTTCTTTTCTTCTCCTTTTTCAAGCGAGAAAAAAGGTTGGTTGGCCAGTTCTTGACCGCCAAACAGAACAGCGGATTTATACAAATCCGGTCCCTTCGCTGCGGTGTAATACCCACCTTAGGTGTGTTTTTTTTCTCTCCCTCCACCCCAAGCATGTCATTCTTAGCTTGTCTTAATTCCTGTGCATGAAGGTGAAAGAACTGCAAAAAAAATGTTTGTATCCATCAGAGTCATTGATCCATAGGGTCCCTTCCAGCTCTGCAGTTTTAAGGTGATGATGGTGGTATATATATATACCCTAAATATATATGTATTTGGGCACTTTTGCTTTTTTGGCAGGATGTTTACAGATTGCAAGAGAGATTTTTCTGCTGTTTTGAAAACAACTGGGCGGTTGGGGGTTTCTCTCTCTCTCTCTTGGGGCTCCAGCAGCCATTTTGGAGCCGCCGAACAGCTGATCGGCGGCTCCAAAATGGCCGCCGGAGCGAAAACATCGCTGGAGGGGGTAAGTTTACACACTTATTGGAACGCATTAAACTAAGTTTAATGCGTTCCAATAGGTTTTCCTGCCCCGCACAGCAATGTTTTCGTATAGCGAAGGTTAATCCGGAACGGATTAACCTCGCTATACGGGGCACCACTGTATATATTTATACCCTAAATATATATGTATTGGGGCACTTTTGCTTTGTTGGCTGGATGTTTACAGATTGCAAGAGAGATTTTTCTGCAGTTTTGAAAACAACTGGGCGGTTGGGGGTTTCTCTCTAACAAATGTGCGGGTGGGTGTTTCTCTCTCTCTCTCTCTCTCTCTCTCTCTCTCTCTTTCTGTGTGTGTGTGTGTGTGTGTGTGTGTGAGGACACATGCGCATGCATGCACTTTGCTTCTCCGAGATAAAGTGCGCTGCCGTTGCATAGTCAGTTTGTGCAAATTTTTGTCTGTCTGTCTGTGTCTCTCTATCTTCTGCCTTTCTCTCCATAGGGGACCCAAAGTGGTCCCCCCAACAGATGAAGCAATAGATTTGTAAACATTGTAATAGTAATCATCATCAACTTATAACTGCACGATGGATGATCAAGTCCAGCCCTTCTAAGGAGGCCCCGTGGAGAATCGAACCCCTGGCCTCTGGTTCCACAGCCAGAGGCCTTAAACTTCTGAGCTGCCCAACCGTTCAACATAAATATCGTATTTTTTTAAAAAAATTTATTAATATAGTAAATCTATTTATTTATATTTGTGCATTTAAAATGCATGCATTTAAAAAGCAGGTTTAACAACCGTTCCCAAAACCTTGATAAGGGAACAAAAAAAGGTTCCTTATCTCACTTTCTGTTGATCGTGAGGAATTTTCCAGAGGAACAAAAATCTTCATTCAGGCGGCTCGGAGGCCCTAAATCAATTCAAACAAAGCATTGTACGCAGTACTTTTCATATCGCTTCTTGGCCTCTTCGGCTAAGATCCTATGTCGTATTCTTTATCTATTCGGTCCGCGTATTATATGAAGTTATTTATATCCTGTTTATTCCCATTAGCTTAGCCAAGATCAGGATTATTATTTTTGGACGACGGCTTCTTGAATTCCCCCCATCAGGACCGTCTGTCCGCCGAGGGTCTGCCAAATTTTTCTTTTTAAGTCCAGCCGTCCCGGAGACGGAGGGTTTGCTGACACCGAGGAATGCCATTCGGAGGGCAAGGAGGAACCTGTTCTTGGGGTTTAAGCCGATCCGACCTTCTAATCCGATGGCGTGAAATGTCTCCCCACCGGTTCCCTCCCTCAAATAAAGCCTCCCCCCCTCCCCGTGCTTTGCTCCTCATGCTTTTGGTGGCATGCTTTTCATTGCTTTGTAAAGGCAGCCCACCAGAGGCATCAGCTGGCAGAAAACGCCAAACAGACTAGAGGAGGTGGCAGAAGATCCAAGACTTCTTCTGAATCTGCTCTGTGTTTGGGGCTTTTTCCACGATGCTGACGTTCTCCCCATCGTGGGCTACGAAGCCTGCCCCGACAGCCCCCTCGTGCCCGGAGGGGATGGGAGCAAGACGCTGATGAAGATGACTGTTTCGATCTCGTTGCGGTTGGAAGTATAAAATTCAGGTCGCGACTCGGGGGCTGTATTTTTAGCACAGCTGTACGCCTCCATGGAAAAGCTTAAGATCTAGTTCACGAGAACAGGGGGGGAGGTATCTGTGTTAGTCTGTCAGAGGCGGGCCACGGAAGAGAGTCTTGTGACGTCAGAAAGACGGAGGCGTTTCAATTTTGCATGCCGTGGCCTGCTTGCGTTTGGAAAACGACGCCAACAAAGCTCGCCGGTTGAAAAACCCCTTAAATACCTGCCCCTCCCTGGGTTTCATTTTCTGAAACTTCATTTATTGCTCGGCCAGAGGTTGGCAAAGACTAGGGAGAAAGTGGAACCTCCATGTTCACCAGCACTGTATCTTTTCAGTAAACCATCATGAGAAGGAGACTGTTCCTTCTGAATGGCTCGTAAGAACCTAAGGCTCTGGTAAACAGGTGCCGAGGAAAGATTTTTCCTGCCCCAAACCTTGATGCCGGCGGGAGAGTAATAAATTCTGAAGTTGCAGGTTTTCACGGTGCTGTTTTGCCAGCTAAGCCCCGATAATAATACTGGGAAAGGCAGAAAGCAGTAGGAAGAGAGGATGTCCAAATACAAGATGAACTCAGTCCCTAAAGGAAGCCCCAGGCTTGAGTTTACAGGAGCTGAGCAGGCGGTCACCATGAGTCCGGGGGTGACTTGACAGCACATAACACGTTCCCCAAAAAAAGTTCCAAAATTCAAAGCCATTTTGCTGATTGATTTATTGTTGTTATGGACCGTCAAATTGCTTCCAACTTACGATAAACCTAATTGGATTTTTCAGGTGTTCAAAGAGCAGTTTAGCCTTGCTAACTCCCCCGCCAGTTTCCATGCCGGTCGTGACCAGGGATTTGAACCCTGGAGCCTTCGTCCGACACTCTGTCCCCTATTCCCCATTGGCTGTCTCTGAATGTGGATCCCTAGCAAGGATCTAACTTGAATGCTGTCCATCTCTACCAGGAGCATGTCTTTTGCAATGCGAATGGCTCTTGATAACTCCATTCAAGCCACTCTGCATGCACAGTAAGGGAGTGTTTGCAGTCATATATTTGTGCCGGGGAGATCCGTTTCCTCTGTATCGATTAAGAGGATGGCAACTGATCTCCGAGGGATCCAGGAAGCTGAAGATGGTCGATGCACTGATTCACCATTTCTTCAAACAAAAATGTAGCAGAAGACCCTATAAATTCTTGGCTCTTGTGTTTTAGAGTAGAGAGCGCCGGCTAGATGGGGGAAATAACCAGACCTGATCCAAAAAGTAGCTTTTTTTATTCCTAACTGGCTGGCCTAAATGGACAGGGGGGGTGTTCGTTTGCAGAGAAACCTCTTTAATCTCTGCACCCCATGTAAAAAGCTGCCCATACAGAAGACCCCCCCGCCCCGCCAAGGGACTGATGCTTCCTATGTGAACCCAGTCCTAATGTTGGCAGCATCAAGAAGATGCTCTGGACACCCAAGCTTTCCCCCGGTTTGCTCTGCCCACCCAACAGCAACGAGACTTCCCTCCCAGCTGTCACTGCCTTTTGGGTTCTGAGAATTGCTTTTAGGAGGCTGTCGGATTTCGTGGAAAACCTCGAGGGCTTTAAAAAG